CTCCGGGAACAGGGCTCTGAGCAGCTCACCACGATGGATTTTCATACAGTTGGGGAGCTGGGGGACTTTAAAGATGAGGACAGGGCCCTGACCGGTTTGGCTCAGTGGATAGAGCGTCGGCCTGCGGACTGAAGGGTCCCAGGTTCGATTCCGGTCAAGGGCGTGTACCTTGGTTGCGGGCACCTCCCCAGTAGGGCATGTGCAGGAGGCAGCTGATCGATGTTTCTCTCTCATCGATGTTTCTAACTCTCTATCCCTCTCCCTTCCTCTCTATAAAAAATCAATAAAATATATATTTTTTAAAAAGATGAGGACAGGGAGGCAGGCTCTGGGAGAAGCCATGTGGCTCACTCAGGGCTTCCAGGTTCCGAGGCCAGAGGTGGAGGCCCGGCTCCCGGCTTCCCTGTGTCTCGTCTCTGTCTTTCTCACTTCCAATCTGGGGATGAGGGGACAATAATGCGCAGGGGCCTCTTCTCTGGGTTTTGTTATCTCAAAAAGTAAAGTCAGTAGCAGCTTCTTTTCCCTCCTCGGGGCATGATTGCCCCCTGGACGTCTTAGAGGACCATCCACAGTAAGGCCCGAGGCCTTAGGTCTGGGGCCCCTGGACATGGGGGTTCTGGATCTTCCTGGAGGGCCGTCCACGCAGCCTCTATGAAGTGTGCTCCCCACAACCCCTGCCTTCGCTTTCCCCCTTTCCTACCCACCTCCCCCATGAGCCACCAAGCTGGAGGCCTCTGCAGCCCACAGCCCCACCTCTTCCTGCCCCATCTGAGCCACCTCCATCCACGAGTAAAGAGAAGAATGAGTCCCAGCTGTCCCTCCCCCTCCCCCACCTTCCAGCCTCCGGGGTAGTAATACAGCCCCCGCCCTCTGGATCCTGGAAACAGGGGATCGGGAGGGGAGGGAGTGGGGCTGCAGAAGGGGGCCAGGCTGTGGGCTGCAGCCCAAGCTCCAGGGGCCTCTGGGTTGGGGTTTTGGGAACAGGGCCCAGCGTGGGGCCTGCCTCTGGCCAGAGCGCCTGGAAAGCTGCCCCTCCGGCCTCCAGACCTGGGGAAGAGCCAATCCTGAAGCAGTGCCTCTCCAGCTCTGGTCTCAGCTGCCCCCTCCCCCTCCAAGGCAGCCCTCACCCCAAAAAGCGGGGAGAGTGGGCTCCATGAGTTATAGTCTCTTCTACGTCTGGATGGATGGATGGGGGTCGGTTTTCTGTCTCCACTTCTGGGATTGAGAAGCAAAGCCTTGTAAACTGGAGGCCCTTCCTCCTGCGGCGTTCAGGCCGAGATAAACTATGTGCTGCGCTCCTCCACCCACTCCCGCTCCCAGGATCCTGGGCCCCTTGCTCTCCCCGCTCCGGTGGAGTGCAGATGCGTCTCTATTTCACGAAAGGGAACTGGGCTTCTAGGGGAGCCTTGGATGGAGGTTGGGGAGGGAGGCAGCTTGGGTGAGAGGATAGTAACCAGGCCACCACACCAAAGGCTCTTCTCTCAGTTCACGGAAACCTATGAAGCTGCACATGCACAGGGTGTGCGCACATACGTGCACAACTCATGAACCTGGCACAAAGCTCCCCTCTCTCTGAGAGCTCAGCTGGAGCAGGGTGCTCTCCGCATGTTTGTCTGTTGGATGGGGACAGTGGAAGTGGGTGGGGAAGGTGGTGGTCACTTCTTTCCGTCAGGTTTTCATTTGAATGGAGTAAAGGCTCGCTAGGGTCGCTCAGCAGACGGAGAGGGGCGACCGTCAGCCTAACGAGTGGCGAGTGGGTTTGTGTCTGGGTCTGTTTCCTTCCAGCAAATGCCCAGCTGCTCCGCCAGAACCCTGGACGTGGGAGGGGTGAGCTGGGGGGACAGGGGTGTGGAGGGGGGAAGAGACCTCACCTGGAAAATGACAAGGAGAGCCACGGCCAGCACGCTCTTCATGGGCTTCCCTGCAGGAGGCAAGGTGAGAGCGTTACTGCTGGGCAGGGGCAGCTCTTTGTTATTAAAGGAAACCGTGAGATAGAGATGCTGATGGAGCTTTCATCACATGCTCCGGGCGCTGCGTTTGCCGAAACAGAACATCAGAACCAGACTGTGCCTCGGAGCAACCTGGCCGGTTGCTGGACTCGCTGCCCTCACCTCCTCTCCCTCCTCCACGGCGAGGTCCCCGAAAGGAGCAGAGGAGAACGCAGGGCAGTCTCCCCTTTCTTGGCTCTTCAGGGCCTCGTTGGGGGTCAGAGAGTCCACCCTGGCCCAGACCTACCCTCAAGGTTGAGCGCCAACTGGTCTTGACTCTTGGGTCTGAATGGCCTCCTCCTTCCTGCTCCCAGGAAGCAAGGAAGGCCCTGAGGTGTGGTGGTAGAGGAGTGTGTGTGTGTGTGTGTGTGTGTGTGTGTGTCCTACACTTACTGGCCTCTCAGGAATGGATGAAAGAGTATTTCATGGGGCTCCCCACACCCCTTCACTCGGTTGACATCCATCCAGTCACCTGGCCCACCCCTCAGCCTGTCTTTGGGGCAGGGACCTCTTCCCTTTTCCCCAGCGCAGGCCCAGAACCTGGGAGTTGGTGCCCAGGCATTGGGAGCTGACGAATAAGTAGAAGAACGAATGCCTGGCGTGCCCTCCCAGGGAGGAGGCTCCAGCTGGCCCAAGGGGACACTGTCCTGGGGGACCAGTCCCTGAGGGAGCTACTAGGTTTTGCTTGACTGAGGTGTGTACACGCCTCCTCTTCCTTAAGTTGTTTCTAACTCAGAGCCGGGGGCTCTGGGTAGAAGGGGAACGGGAGGTCAGCTGTGGGGAGAGACCTGGCCCAGAGCAGGGGTCGGAGCCTGGGGTCGCCCTGGAACCCAGGAGGCTCTCCTTGGGCCTGAACAGCCTGGAGAGCCCAGGTGAGCACAGGCCTGATGTGTGGTGGACGGAGGACAGGCACTTGGCTGCTCACTTCTGCTCTGTGGCTGAGCTGGGTCCCGGACCTGGAACTCATTTCCTCCGAGGGCCGAGCAGGACAGGCCGCAGGGTGGCTTATACAGAAGTCTTATCTCACCCCGCAGCCTGGGAGCACCCCGAGAAAGGAACTGTGCCTGCTTCACCTCTGGGCCCCCTCCCCACGACTCGCCCCTCAGGCCTGGCCCGCAGGAAACATCCGTGGGTGCCAAGCCAGGGCTTACAGGCCCGGCGCCCCTCTCCTCTCGGCTGGGACCGGGAAGAGGGGGGGACCCCGCTTTAAACACCTTCGGGGAGACTGCCCTGCGTTCTCATCGGCTCCTTCCGGGACCTGCGGGGGAGCAGAGGCTCTGGCTTCCCAAAAGGCAGGAGCTCATTCCCAGCGAATCTGAGTCCTTGGCCACAGCACCACCTGCTGGAAATCCCGCAGCACGACACCCAAGTCGCAGGGAATGTTTTCCAGAGGAACTGCCCAAGGCGGGGATTTTGGAATTGGAGAGTCCACCTTGGGCTTGGGGGTCCCTGGGGAAGGACTGGCATTGAGCCACATGAATAGACTAGCTACTTCTCTCACCTCAAGCAAGGCGCACTGCACGTTACTGCTAGACATGTTCCTAAATCATTACTTGGCTGTAACATCCCCCCCCCCCGTGCCCCCCCCCACCAACCTCCTTCTAAATCCTTAAGACTTCTCTACCCAACCCCAGGGAGGAAGTCCCTGCAGGTTAGCATGGCAGTCAGGCCCTCTGCTGTCTACCTGGACCTGCCCTCCTCGCTGTGCCTTCCATTTCTTGGGACAAGCACCCGCCGTCCCATTGTCCCCAGGTTGGGCGTGAGTGTTTGCGGCCCCGGGGAGAACATGGGTCCTTGTACACCATCATAGTTCCTCTCTCTCATTCCCCTTTCTGGCTGAACCACCCCGGGAGCCCCTGAGCTGCTGTCCGTGTTCTGCCCTAACCACACTCTCTTCAGGGTCCAACGAGTGCACCGCCCATCCTCCACTGACTCATTTCGATGTGAAGCGCTCGAGGTTTCTTCAAACCCCGTCTTTTGGTTACTCTAGAGAAAGCCCGCTCTGACTGTCAGTGAGAACCGAGAAACCTCAAAGTTTTGATAAGTCACAACGAATGAAATATGAGGAGGAAGGCCTACGTTTCTATTTTACTCGTTCGCCCCTTCTCCTGGGCCCCATCCCATTCTGTTTTCCACTGTCTAGGGCAGGGGTGTGTGTGTGTGTGTGTGTGTGTGTGTGTGTGTGTGTGTGTGTGTAGGTGACTTCTCATTCCAGGTGTGTTGGAGATGACCAATGAGCAGGGATCTTGTAGGATCAGAACAGGGCATTTTCGAGTCAGGTGGCCGAATGGGAAGTTAGGGGAACTCTGGTGTGTGGCAGAGGGGGCCTGGTTGGCGCCATGAGTCAGATCACTTCTGTCTGTTACAAAGTCATAAAGCAACTGGCGTTGGGCAGCAGCTCGGGTGAGGCCAGTAACGCTGGAAATCTGAGGGGTTGGGGAATGGTTTCCTTATGTGTTGGGTATTTTCTGGGTTCTGAAGTTTCTAGTAATGATCATGATGAAAAGAAAATTCCCTAGCACTCCACCCTGCGCCCCCAGCAAGAGAAACTCCCTTCTTGTGTGGGAGGAGGGGACTGCTGGCTGGACGCTCCCCCAAGCCCTCAGCGTCCATCCCCACCTTTTCCAGGACCTTCAGGCCACCCAGGCAATCATGGCTGCCCATCAGCTGGTTCCAAAAGCCACCCCAACCTTTTTCTTCTTTGTAATTCCTCACCTGCCAACACAACGTTTCTCTTTCGTGGGCAAGAGAGGGGGAGGGAAGAGGCAGGGAAGGGGGGGCTGGGGACCCTCTTTCAGAGGGCTCTAGGTAGGGATGGCTGACAGCTGGTTGAATCTACAGTCACTACGTTATCAACTGCTTTATCCAGTGATGGAATTCATGCTTCTCGAGCTCTCAGTATACACCAACCTGCTTCCATGGATGAGCATGTCATCCTCACAAAAGCCCTGTGAGGTAGGCCCTGGGAAACCGAGGCCGCGCGAGAGGAGAAACTTCCCCAGAGTCATAACCGGCGAGCCGTAGAAATGGGTTTAAACCGTCTGACCCCAGAAACGGCACTCCTAACCGCTCTTCTGGGCCTCTCCTTTGTCGTTATGTATCTCTCTCTCTCATAACACCCTGTGGGTTATCCCTTGTTATTCTCACTCTATATTTCAGAAAATAGAGGTCCAGAGAGGTTAAGCCACTTGCCTAGGGTCACACAGCTGCTCAGAGATGGCTATGAGATTTGAATGGAACTCTTACTACTGCATAGCCCTCCATTTCTGATGAAAAGTTTGGGGTGGCTTTTGGGGCCATGCTGTGTACAGGGATCTCCATGGAGCATGAAGGGAATCCTTACTCCCCCACATCCCACTGGTCACCCAGTGCTGTTGCTTTCCCCCGCAACCCCCCATCTTCTCAGAGCTAGCCCCCACCTCTGCCCTGACCTAAGGCTCTGCTGCCCCCTGGCTGTCACAGAACTTCTGAAACACAAATCTTACCCTGTAGCTCAACTAATTGAAAAAGAAAAATCTTTACTGGCTCCCCATCAATTTCAGGATAAAGCCCAAACTTCTTAGGAATGCCGTACAAAACCTTAACGATCCACCCTGCCCATCCCTCCTGCTTCCCTTCCTCCCTTCCTCCTTGGCACGACCAGAGCTGACCATCTAGGAGCCTGCAGACCGAGCCCCCAGGCTGCTTGGCTTGGCTGCATGGAGTTTACAAAAAAGTAGGTTTGTCTGCCTTTAAGTGGGGCTTGCACCCTCTGGTTCACTCTGCTCCCCTTCTCTTATTCCATCTTATGGCCATTCCCACACTTATCTTGTTGGTTTCTAATGGCAACTGAGTCTACTATCCCTGTCCCATCCTGGGCTTCTTGCTCCTTCACTGGTTTACTAACTCCTACATACCCTTCAAAACCCAACGTAAATGCTCCCCTGACTCATATTCGCTATTTCTTTCTTTGAGCTCTGTAAGCACCTTGCCCATCACCCCGTCAGCGCCGTATCTCATTCTATTGCATTGGCGTAGTGACATATGTGTCTTTCTCCCCAGCGACTGGTCATGCCTGAATTCCTCAATCGATAGTTGACTGAAAGGAACCGAGAAATCTCAAACAAAGAGGAGAGATTTTCCGATAGCTCCTCTAGGCTGCAGTATCCTCCTCCTCCCCGGCCAAGCTCCCAGAAGGCCAGGGGGGATGGGCCCTGAACTCCTTCAGCATTCCCCTCTGCTGCCATCTCAGACCGGTCTGTGAGAGAGAAGTCTCTGGCAGGTTTATTTTTTTCTTTGTTTTGGAGAATTCTGAGATCTTAGGCCACATTTCTTGGGGAGGGCACCTCCGGGCTGTTCATTCAAATTGTGAAAAAGACCGGCTCAGCCCGGATTTGGCATTTTCACTTTGTGTAACAGAAACTCAACTCCCTCACCCACCCCTTGCTCCCTGCTGCCCCACCAACCGTCCAAAGGCTGTTCTGAACCAAAGCTGCTCAGTGGCTTTCCCGTCAGTATTTCGGGCTTGGCCGTTGGGCTCTCTCAACTTGAGCAAAGCAACAACCCTTCCCACATCTAGCCTGTGAGTCTAGCACCCCCAAACCTCGGCCTGGAGGAGGACCCTCCGTGGTGCGCGGGAACTGACTTTCATGGGCTCACCAGCCAGTGCTGTCATCTCTCTCCGATTCTGGGTTCAGTCATTTCATGGTTTCATATTGGCTGGAAGCCTGAAACCAGCGATGGTGGGAGAATTTACACTACAGCCATTGGCAAGCACTGCAAATCAGGGCCGTCGTCCACCCTGGGGAGCAGGTTGCCCAGCATTTCCCAGCCCAACACTGGGACACTGCTTGGTCCCCTTCAGAGAGGTCAAGCAGAGAGTTGGGAACAGGGTCTGTGGTGGACGAAGGCGGCATCCTGTGCCTGTGGTCAGTGGGGGGGGGAGGGCAGTGTCAGTGGCCGGGGGAGTGGGATTAGAGG